TGAGTTCCAATCTTAAATAGTTCTCTGATTTTTCTAATCTAAGTGAAGACTTTGTAAAGCTGCGAAATAATGAATCTTGTGAAGTGAAAGGCATTGGAACATTGTTTTAAAACTTTTGAAACATATTAGATATATCCCTGCATTAAAAGAAATTTTATTTCCTTAAGAGTTTTAGATGATGAAAATTATCATATTGAAATTTGAAATGGCTTTACAAACATAATGAAAAATCAAAACCTTATTGTTATTGCACCAAAGGTTAATGGAATCTATGTCATAAGTACTGAATATGTCTCCCCTAGTAATGCTGTGAGCTTAATGACTCAATTTGATAAGTTAAAACTATAGCATAGGAGACTTGGTCACCTTGGTGAGAAGGGATTAACACTTCATTCAAAAGAAGGATGCTTTGGAAAGAACAATGTTCACAAAACATTTTGTGAACATTGTATCTTTGGAAATTAAAATAGATTGCCATTTAAAACAGGCATACACAAGTCACTGAATGTACTTGACTATGTACATAGTGATTTGTGGGGGCATGTAGCTGTATCTATAGTCTCTGGCTGTAAATACTATCTTATGGTCATAGATGATTTCTCAAAGAAAGTACGGATCCTTCTATTGAGAAGTAAGTCTAATACATTTATGACCTTTAAAAACTAGAAAACATTATTTGATAATCAAAAAGATAAGAAGATAAAGACATTGAGAACCGATAATGATCTAAAATTCTGCAATATTGAATTTGACCAATTATGAAATATTTATGGGATATAGAGGTATAGAGTTGTTATCTATACTCTCTAGCAAAATAGAATTGTTGAAAGGATGAATATGACTATCATTGAAAGAACCGAATGCATGTTAATCAACTCTGGTCTACCAAAGTATTGGGAGGGAACTGTTAGGACTGTCTGTTACCTTATAAATAGAAGCCCTTTAAGTTCCATAGATTATTAGATGCCTGAGAAGATATGGACTGGAACTATGCCTAATTACTCGTACCTTATAACCTTTGGTTGTGCAGCTTATGTGCACAAAACTGACTCTAAATTTGATCCTAAATCCAAATGTGTTTTTCTTGGATATGGCGAAGGGATTAAAGGTTGTAGGCTATGGATGAAAGAAATTATCGTCTTCAAGGTCATAATAAGTAGATTAGTTTCTTTAATGAAAAACTTTTTCTTTGTCTTAGTGAAAATAATAAAGAGGAACTAACTGAGAAAGACTTTGTTTCTACTGAGGTTGAGGTTAATGTACAAAATAATGAAAATCAAACTCAAATTGAGGTGGACCAACCTCAAGAAGAATCTCAAATAATAATCGATGAGAACTTGAAAAATGACCAAGTTCTAGACCCTACCATTGATTTACAGGATTATCAACTTGCTGGGGACAGATAAAGAAGATAGATAAGTCCTCCATCTAGATATTTGTACGCAGACTATGTGTCTGAACAAGTTGAACCTACATCTTATGAAGAGGTTGTATCTTATAGAGATTCTGCAAGATGGTTCGCTAATGTAAGAAGAAATGGATTCTTTATATAAGAATCAAACTTGGAATCTTGTAGAAAAGCCTTTTGACTGCCAATTGGTTGACTGCAAATGGGTGTATAAAATTAAGGAAGGTGATATAAAAGGTGGTAATAAAAGATGCAAAGCATGACTAGTAGCTAAGGGTTTCACACAAAGAGAATGAATAGATTACATTGACATATTTTCACTTGTTGTTAAATATACTTCGATCAATGTTTTGTTTGTTTTAGTAGCACAATTCGACTTAGAATTAGAACAATTTGATGTGAAAACAGCTTTTCTTTATGATACATTAGATGAAACCATATACATGATTCAACCAAAAGGATTTGAAAGCAAGAAAAAGAAAAACTAGTGTGTCTTTTGAAAAAAATAAAAAATAAAAATTCCTATATGGTTTGAAATAGGCTCCTAGGCAATGGTATAGAAGATACGACTCTTTTATACAAAACCTTGTGTTTAAAAAGTCTGAATATAATCCCTATTTCTACGTTAAATGTGTTGGAAATTCTGACCTTTCCTATATGTTAATGATATGCTTCTAGCTGGTCATGATAAAGTTACTATTAATTCTTTGAAAGAATAAACTTAAATCTAAATTTGAAATGAAGGATTTAGGATCTACTAGAAGGATATTAGGCATGGAAAATTAAAAGGGATAGAATAAGTGGAAAATTATTTTTAACACAATAATCTTTCATTGAAAAGTTGTTAAAATGTTTTCACTTCATGAATCTAAACCCATCAGTTTGCTTTTATCTACGTGTGTGAAGTTATCTACTAATCATTCACCTAAAATTGAAGATAAGTTTGACAGAATGGTAAATGTGCCCTATTCTAATGCAGTATATTGTGTTATGGTATGCTCCAGACCTGATATTTCTTTGCTGTAAATATTCTGAGTAGATTTATGAGTAATCAAAATGCATCGCATTGGAAAGTTATTAATACTTAATTAGATATCTAAAGGGTACTTAGAAATTAGGACTTATGTTTAAAATTAATAAAAATGGTCTTAAATTAAAAGAATATGTTGATTTTGATTTTCTTGGAAACTCTGATAATGAAAAGTTTACTTCTACATATTTCTATGTAACAAGTAATACTTGCATTAGTTGGAAGTCTTAGCTTCAAAAATTATTTGTCTTATTATCAATTGAAGCTGAATATAATGCAACCACTGAAGCTGTAAAAGAAAGTATATTAAGTGAATTAGAAATTATAGAAATAATGTGGAGCTTTGTTTAGATAATCAGATTTATATTTTCTTGAGTAAAAATTTTATGTTTTATAATAAAACTAAACATATAGATGTTGAGTTTCATTTCATTAGAGATATAATTAAAAATGGTGATATAAAACTTGTTAAAATACTTACTAAAGTGAGTCCAACTGATGCAGATACAGTGGTAATACCATTGAATAAGTTTTAGGATTCTTTAAAATTATTGAATCTTGAAACTGATAATTTATTTATTTTGTAATAAGTTAATAAGAGCAAATGATCTGAGATAGAGTTCAAATCCATTACGTAAAGTCTCAAAATGCAACAAAGGTGGAGATTATTGAAAATAGTTTGCTCCATTTTTTCAAAGCTCCAATTAATTTCTGGTCCAATAAGGTTTTGTTTAACCCAATTACCCGGTCCAATTAATATATATATATATATATACGCCTTCGATATATGATTGACACTTGGAATGCTGTTTACCGTTGGATTTGACTTTTGGACTTATCTCATATAAAAGGACTTTGTGTTCTCAAGATTAGCTCTTCATTTTTGTGTTGAACTCTCTCTGTACGTGTGTGTACATAATCGGTCATCAATTGGATGGTCCTTGAGTAATTTCTGTGTGAGATTACTACATTTGAAAGAAAGATTAAGCAACACATTCTTTGTAAATGTTTGCTGAAAAGTGAGAGTTTGAGAGATTAGGGTTTTGTTGAAATCTTGTTGGTTTTGTACTGTACTTGATTCGTGGCATTTTGAGGGTTTTATAGTGAATTCGAGTAATATTTTCAAGAATGTTCACTGAGTAATTAAACGCTAGAAGCGATCGCTGAATTTTCAAGGCCTTTGGCAGAAAAATCTTGTGTTCTTGTTACTTTTGAAGTATTTTACGTTTCAGTTTTACAAACGAACTCGATTTAAAATAAAGATCTGTTTATCTGGGACCAACAGATATGCTTGAAGCAAATAGAACAAGAAAAGTCAAAATTCCAATGAAAAGATTGCCTTTGACGAGAGCATTTCTAGACTGATATTGAATCAGATAATCTAATTAAATAAGAACGATGAGTAATAATGGGAGGATGAGTATACCACAATATTGTATTTTGATTTATATTTTTTTGTTTTTATTGTATGAAGAGTAGAATTATAAATTTGTTGTTGAGCATTTATTAAAAATATATTTTAATTATAGCGTGATTACAATGCGGTATAGTAAATATATTAAATTTTGTGGTGGTAATTATCCAGCCACCGTTTGGTTCTATTTTTTAAGCAAAAAAATTAATTTTTTGATTGTTACTTAACATAGTCAGTCATTATTTTGACTCATTCACTTACAAATAAAACATAATTTTCTCTCTGACGGTAAAAAAAATGATTCTCATAATCAGTACCAAACAGGCCGCGAATGTGGCTTGAAATCGTTAGATATCCAAATTAGTTCATGAGGAAATTATTAGAAATGTCCACATTCACATACCCATTTGCAAAAATGTCCACCATTACAAATCCTTGCAAAAATATTCATTTTGGAATAATTTAGAAGAAAATACCCATGTTAACAATTATAATTCCACACAAAGATAAAAATGAACATTTTTGCAATTAAAAATTTTGTTGACCAATAAAATTTTGACACATAACCTGCCTTATTTATTTCAAAAGTGCACACGTCAAATCACAATAAATGTTATTTTTCGCATTGACGTAGAAATGTCGAGAACTATATTTCAAATGTAGAGAAATGTCATATTCGAAATGAAATGTCATTATAGACATCTTATATGACGAGAACAACATTTGATATTTATACTTTTGAAATATAAACGGGGTTCAAATATCGAGAAAGACATTTGAAATGTTGAGAACATCATTTTAACATAACTTCTTATGGACGCTACTTCTTGAAATCCGCAAAAAAATTGGAAAAAAACTAATTACTTCATTTTTTCATTAAAGGCATAATAAAAGGTTTAGTACTAAAAGCCTGTTTGAAAGTGATTTTGAGAATTGATTTTTTGACCGTTAAGAGAAAAGTGGGGTCCACTTGTGAGAGAAGAAATCAAATATGACAGTTGGAATAGTGAAATAACGGTCAAAAAATCAAATTTTTAGGTGAAAAAATCGGGCCTAAACAGGCTCGAAATTTTAAAAATAGACATTTTTGAATTGACAATCACGAAATTGAACATTTTTGAAAATACCCCAATTCATTTTGATTGAAGAGGGAATATTCTATCCAGAAGACAAATTTTACTCTCAGATTCCAAATAAAGAAGATTTCGTAGTTCAGTTGCCACGCATTTTGTTTCCCTCGGATGCCCTAAATGCAAACCTTTTATCTCTTCTTCTACAACCTCTTTCAGGCCTTGGGATGGTAATTTTCTCTCAACTTTTCTCTTACACACACACACACACACACACAAACACACATTTTGACCTTCAGTTTGTGTACTGTGCAGGCTAATTTCTCTATTCAAAATTTTGGGCAACTTCTTGTCGACTAAATCTGTCAGTGGGACTTACGCTTCTGCCGGAGAACTAATTCGTGCGTACTCAAAATCGAATAAAAAATTTTAAAATTTTAAAACCCACAATTCAAATATGCATTATTTATTTCAAGAGATCAGAGAATTACACACACACACACACACACACACACACACTTTTTTAACAGTTTTCATGATTTTCTACGATTGGTTTTAAGGTTTGTTGACTGTGCAGGCTAATTTCTCTATTCAAAATTTTGGGCAACTTCTTGTCGACTAAATCTGTCAGTGGGACTTACGCTTCTGCCGGAGAACTAATTCGTGCGTACTCAAAATCGAATAAAAAATTTTAAAATTTTAAAACCCACAATTCAAATATGCATTATTTATTTCAAGAGATCAGAGAATTACACACACACACACACACACACACACACACTTTTTTAACAGTTTTCATGATTTTCTATGATTGGTTTTAAGGTTTGTTGCAAGCTATTGCATTCTTGGAAGTTATTCATGGGGCTATTGGTAAATAAGCAAATTGACTTACTCTTGTTGTGCTTCGATTAATAAAGTTTTAATATTTATAAATTTTTGCTTTATGTAATTTCGGGTGTTGAATTTCAAGGCATTGTTCCCAGTGGTGTGTTACTTCCTTTGATGCAATGGGGTGGAAGGACTCACTATTTGCTTGCTATCGTTCGTCGTATTCATGAGGTTAATACTTTAACATTTATAGCCTTCGCTTATTCATTAAAACTTATAGCCAAAAGAAAGTAAGGATATGGCAAAAGCATATTTTTTGGATCGGAGATAATTTAATGAATAGTCACTGAACTTTACAATAGGTTACTACTTAGTCATTGATCTTTAAAAAGTTACTTGTTGCTCACTAAATTTTGCTATAAGTTACTATTTACTCTTTGAAATTTAAAAAAGTTACTTATTGTTCACCTAAATTTGAATAAAATTACTTTTTGCTCACCAAATTTTGCTATAGGTAACACTCGTGGAAATGATATGGGTGATTGAAGGGTAATTTTATTCAAATTTGGGTAAGCAATGAGTTTTTTTTTAAATTTTGGTAACCAAATGGTAACCTACAGCAAAGTTCAGTGACCATTGATTAAATTAACTCTGTTATAAATGGTGGAATTTTATACATGGATTGGAGTGTTTCGATGGTGTGCCACATGGGTACTTTCTAGCTTCTCGAGGACTACGACAAGGGTTCCAAACCTAGCCTGTTGATTTTAGCTGAAGTAATCAATTTCTTGGGTGATCGCCCTTTAGCTTGTTGTTTGGCAAAAAAGACTTCCAGGAGTTGGTTTAGTATGATGGGTAAAATAAGCTCCTGGTAAAGGTATAATGAAGTCATAGCTGCCGCCATACGTCTTTCTTCATTGGTTCACATTGTGCTTCCCACCAAACTTGGTAAGGTCATTCGGGCATTCCCTCCAAGGATGATTTACATACAATTCTTGCAAGAGTTAGAAAAGTGTCTGTGGGTAACCTAGTTTCCTGGGTAGTGAGACCAATACGGAAACATATGAGGGAGTATGTGGAAGATTAATTAAAATATCTACATATCGCTACCTATTTAATATGTTGAATAATTAATGTGAGGGGAGAGAGAGAGATAGGACATTGATCCCGTTTGGCATGATTTTTGAAAAGTCAAAAGAAGCTTTTGTGATCAAAAGCTGCTTTTGGACATGTTTGGCTAATTTTATGAATAAAAATATGTAATTTCCTCCAAAAACTCTTTTAAAGAAAGCAAAAGCAAAAAATAAAAGTCATATCAAATGGACCCAATATATAGTGGAGGATTTTTAATTCGGGTTTGGTGCGCATTGAACAAGATTTTAGTTACTTTTTCTTCTTTAATAACATGCGGTGCTATCTAGTCCTCCTTACTAGATATTATTTAAGCTCTTTGTTTTCATCAGATCATAGTGAGGTTGCAATTCTTTGGCCATTTCGTTTGCAAGTCATAAAAATTCTTCTATTTCATAATGTAGGTCCAAGAATTACCATCAGTTTTCATAACATTTTTTGCTTGGAGCTTATCTGAGGTGAGTTGGGATCTTTATTTCTTTCCATTTCTCTTTTTGATTGGTTAAATATTTTAAAAACAAATTAATCGAAAAACCTAATCAATTTGAAGTGTAAATGAACTGCTTTATTGTATTCATGGAGTAGCATCTTCATCTTTTCTTAGACATATTATTCAACATGTTAGTGTTTATGCGTATAAGGCTATACAGATTTGACATATTTTTCAGAATACTAATTGTAAAAAACTTAATAATAAAGAAGAAAAATGTTATTCTTAATTTGGAAGCACTAATTCATACTAATCATAAGCTTATATTAGAATGACGGTGAGATGTTTTACTTACATTTGATACAATAAAATTGTTGTAAGTAATGGATTTTCAGTATAAAACTTTGCAACATCTGAAAAATTGATATGAGCGGATACATACCTTATTGCTTTGTTGGTAAGTTGTGGTAGAGAATTAGTTCTTGTACTTGTATAAGGTATAGTGAAGTCATATCTGATCTCAAAAGGTCAAAATTATATGTTGTTTTGCACTGAAGTATGGCGTGTTAACCAAAGTTTCAGTATCAAATCACTATGCCTAAAAACTTTGAGCGATAAGAATAAAAATGGTCTTCAACATGTCCCTTACTGCAGTTTACATCAAAGCATTGGAAAATGCAGGCGGTGAGACGTGAAGTCAGAATATTTTTCTGCTTTGATACTATGTCAAACGGCCTCCATTGTTTCAATCTCTAACAGTCCTAGTGCATCTGGTTTAGCTTACATGTTATCTAGGTCATTTTTAAGTAAGTTTGTTTTTCATCTGATCAGTCCAATCATCTTTTATATGATACAATATTTCACTATCATGTAATGGATGCAGATAATCAGATATTCGCATTATGCTTTGAATTGCCTGGGCACTCCTCCCTATTGGATCACTTACACAAGGTTTGATTTCTTTGTCTAAGCATAGAGAGGAACATGCACTTGGTCGAGAGAATATGCTACTTTTCGCATCTAATTTTTCAATTCGCAACGACTTTTTGTATTGGTAGGTATACTGCATTCATTGTCTTGTATCCAATTGGAGTTTTTCCTGGTGAAAGTAAGACACTACATTATCTTAGATTTGTATATTTCCATATGCTTGCTTCTTTAGTACTCTATCGTTTCACCATCCTTAATATTCTCATTATGAAGTTAAATGGATTTCCACATGTTTTGCAGTGTGGCTCATGTACCAAGCACTTCCATTTATAAAGAAGAAAAACCTCTATGCGAATAGACTCCCTCTCAACTATTATTACTTTGTTGTGGTACGTATAGTAGCCTAAATATTCCAGCACTTATTTAGGTATTTCCTTTTTGATTTTGTGACACTTAAAAGTCAAAACATATGCAATTCCTTTGTCAACTCTATAAAGTTTGGGTTAATGACATCTGCACTGTGAAAGTTAGTAGTATTTTTAAGTAAAACACATTTATAGTTACTGCCAAATCTGCTTGAAAAACGAAATTTTGATGCGATTCAAGCTTAGCTCTCTCTCTCTCTCTCTCTCTCTCTCTCTCTCTCTCTCTCTCTCTCTCTGTGCATATATAGATCAACGAAATTTAGTAGCATAGCATGTATTCATCACGCGGAGATTTTCTCTATAGATTCTGAAATTTAACTTTGGTCTACAATCTCCGTGCTTATAAAATATATACAGCTTCCAACCGACTCCATATTGTCTTTGTTAAAATTATGCAGATCATAAACATGGTCTATATTTTCATTTGGAGAATTACTGGTTTTACACTTAAAAAGATTGGTTTTCCAATGGTTATGTTTCCTTAAGAGATTTATGAAATATCTTCTCATTCATCCCATTAGGCTAGTTGTATTTTCTTCACATATAAAGGCTTGACTACGTACTCAAACTTTTCGCTGTTCATTTTCTGTGCAGGCTCTGCTTCTTAGCTATCCATTTTTGTGGTCGAAGCTTTACCTTCACTTATTCAATCAACGACGGTCAAAACTGGGTAAACACAAAAAGAAGCAAAACTGAACTTGTACAGCCATGTCAAGGCACGGCAAACCGGCGCCATGCCTGTAGAGAAAGTGGGCTGGGAAGGGGCTGGCTGTGCATGCTCAGCCCGGCTTACTTAAAGAGTTATCAGGCAATTCTTCTTGGTCTGTGGATTGTGATCACAGAATCTGTCAATTTATTAAAGATTGTTTATCTATAGCGAGAATAAGAACATGGACAAAGGAAAAATGTCTTGAATGTGAAATCTTGACATGGTTAGACTTGTAGTTTAAGAAGTTATTTGGCAGTGTTTTTCTGATGAATTTTAGCCTAGGTGGGTATACAATGGGCGTTTAGGACGTGAAAAATTACACTTGCGTAGTCGTAATTTTATGTTTGGTAACGTAAACTAAGCAAAGCTTGACATGATTAAAAAAGGTAGCTGAAAATTTGTCTACTATTGTGCTTCCATAACCCATCTGTATGGTGCATTAACCTGAACTATACGAACTTCTCGGTCAAAATGTTTAATAAGGAAAAATTGATGATATTGGAGAACATCAAATAAGAAAACTTGAATTCCAAAGAAGCAAGACAAACGATAACATCAATTAAAAGCCCGAGGCTTTAAATGGGCATTAGAAAATGAAAACAAACATTGCACATAGTTCCTAATACTTGATGAAAGCAGAGATGGATTCTTAGTATTCTGCACTAGTACGGAGTTGTTCATGGCTTTGGTTAATGAACAAGATGTCATAGATCAGAGCAGCAATTCCAGCACCGACAAATGGGCCGAGCCAGAATACCCAGTGGTTGTCCCATGTCCAGCTGACCACAGCAGGGCCAAAAGACACGGCGGGGTTCATGGATGCACCATCGAAGGCACCACCGGCTAAGATGTTAGCACCTACAATGAAGCCAATGGCAATGGGGGCAATGATCCCTAAGTTACCCCTCTTTGGATCCACTGCAGTAGCATAAACTGTGTAAACGAGTCCAAAGGTCATCACTATCTCAAAAACAACTGCATTCCAAACTGTCACTCCAGATGAAAGTGCAAAAGCTGATGTTTCCTGTAAACAAGAATTGAACTTTAGCCTATTTGTTATAGTTATGGACTCGACTTGACTGGATAGTACAGTAAGATTCAACTTACGAGTCCGCCTGTGGCTAACCTAAGAAGCAAGCATGCAACAACAGATCCAAGTAATTGGGCTATCCAGTACAGGATGCTCCTAATCAATGTGATGTGACCACCAACAAAGGCACCAAAGGTGACAGCAGGGTTTACGTGGCCGCCAGAGATGTTAGCACCGACCGAAACCGCCACGAAAAGTGCAAAAGCGTGCGCTATCGCCTCAGCAATTAGGCCAGTTGGCGTGGTCGATCCATTGTTTGTAAGCTTTGCTGTGGAAAAAGTCAAAATCCCAATGATTTAATTCTCGAATTCTAACAACTTAAACTTTTAAATGAATTTGTACAGGATAACTACTTACCGAAAGCCATGCCAGAACCTTCACCAGCAAAAACAAAAATCAACATCGAAATGAACTCGGCCAGGGTGGCCTTGAGGGCTTCCGGCTGACTAGCCTCGGCCAGAGATCCGACAGCTATTCTCGAAATCGGCATTTTTCTTCAAAATTTTAACCTTAAAAACTCAAAAGAAAGCCAATAAGCTGCCCGCCTTTACCTCTTTGTTTAGCTTATTACACTGGTCTCATTTAACAACAGCAGCTATGTATAGTGGACTAAGACATCACATGGCCCTTTATTGGATGCCACTTAGAATTGTCCGTAATGGGGCCGCCAAAATATTGTGGAGTTGCCACGTGGCAATTTGGATGAAGAAAATCTATAGCCAGCCAATTATAGTGTAGAATGATGAGAGCAATGGAAAATTCTGGTAGGCGACCAAAAGTACAAATGATTAATCATAATTAGATTAAAGCGACCGTTTCTTGATTATTAGTCTAGCTGAGCTTGTGATTATGACCTTCCTATTGTTTAGCACAAGTGTAGATAATCTCTAAGAGTCTGAACAACACTCTTGCCGATCTATGAACGAGTAAATTTGATAGAAACTAGTACAAGGTGTAGTGAATGTAATTTCATAAAGGATTTTGAGGACGAAAGTGAGTATAAAAACAATTATAATTCTCTCTCTCTCTCTCTCTCTCTCTCTCTCTCTCTCTCTCTCTCTCTGTGCATATATAGATCAACGAAATTTAGTAGCATAGCATGTATTCATCACGCGGAGATTTTCTCTATAGATTCTGAAATTTAACTTTGGTCTACAATCTCCGTGCTTATAAAATATATACAGCTTCCAACCGACTCCATATTGTCTTTGTTAAAATTATGCAGATCATAAACATGGTCTATATTTTCATTTGGAGAATTACTGGTTTTACACTTAAAAAGATTGGTTTTCCAATTGTTATGTTTCCTTAAGAGATTTATGAAATATCTTCTCATTCATCCCATTAGGCTAGTTGTATTTTCTTCACATATAAAGACTTGACAACGTACTCAAACTTTTCGCTGTTCATTTTCTGTGCAGGCTCTGCTTCTTAGCTATCCATTTTTGTGGTCGAAGCTTTACCTTCACTTATTCAATCAACGACGGTCAAAACTGGGTAAATACAAAAATAAGCAAAACTGAACTTGTACAGCCATGTTAAGGCACGGCAAAACCGGCGCCATGCCTGTAGAGAAAGTGGGCTGGGAAGGGGCTTGCTGTGCATGCTCAGGCAGCTCAGCCCGGCTTACTTAAGAGTTATCAGGCAATTCTTCTTGGTCTGTGGATTGTCATCACGGAATCTGTCAATTTATTAAAGATTGTTTATCTATAGTCAGAATAAGAACATGGACAAAGGAAAAATGTCTTTTATGTGAAATCTAGACATGGTTAGACTTGTAGTTTAAGAAGTTATTTGGCAGTGTTTTTCTGATGAATTTTAGCCTAGGTGCGTATCCAATGGGCGTTTAGGACGTGAAAAATTACACTTGCACAGTCGTAATTTCATATTTGGTAACGTAAACTAAGCAAAGCTTGACATGATTAAAAAAGGTAGTTGAAAATTTGTCTATTGTGCTTCCATAACCCATCTGTATGGTGCATTAACCTGAACTATACGAACTTCTCGGTCAAAATGTTTAATAAGGAAAAATTGATGATATTGGAGAACATCAAATAAGAAAACTTGAATTCCAAAGAAGCAAGACAAACGATAACATCAATTAAAAGCCCGAGGCTTTAAATGGGCATTAGAAAATGAAAACAAACATTGCACATAGTTCCTAAAACTTGATGAAAGCAGAGATGGATTCTTAGTATTCTGCACTAGTACGGAGTTGTTCATGGCTTTGGTTAATGAACAAGATTTCATAGATCAGAGCAGCAATTCCAGCACCGACAAACGGGCCGAGCCAGAAGACCCAGTGGCTGTCCCATGTCCAGCTGACCACAGCAGGGCCAAAAGACACGGCGGGGTTCATGGACGCACCATCGAAGGCACCACCGGCTAAGATGTTAGCGCCTACAATGAAGCCAATGGCAATGGGGGCAATGATCCCTAAGTTACCCCTCTTTGGATCCACTGCAGTAGCATAAACTGTGTAAACGAGTCCAAAGGTCATCACTATCTCAAAAACAACTGCATTCCAAACTGTCACTCCAGATGAAAGTGCAAAAGCTGATGTTTCCTGTAAACAAGAATTGAACTTTAGCCTATTTGTTATAGTTATGGACTCGACTTGACTGGATAGTACAGTAAGATTCAACTTACGAGTCCGCCTGTGGCTAACCTAAGAAGCAAGCATGCAACAACAGATCCAAGTAATTGGGCTATCCAGTACAGGATGCTCCTAATCAATGTGATGTGACCACCAACAAAGGCACCAAAGGTGACAGCAGGGTTTACGTGGCCGCCAGAGATGTTAGCACCGACCGAAACCGCCACGAAAAGTGCAAAAGCGTGCGCTATCGCCTCAGCAATTAGGCCAGTTGGCGTGGTCGATCCATTGTTTGTAAGCTTTGCTGTGGAAAAAGTCAAAATCCCAATGATTTAATTCTCGAATTCTAACAACTTAAACTTTTAAATGAATTTGTACAGGATAACTACTTACCGAAAGCCATGCCAGAACCTTCACCAGCAAAAACAAAAATCAACATCGAAATGAACTCGGCCAGGGTGGCCTTGAGGGCTTCCGGCTGACTAGCCTCGGCCAGAGATCCGACAGCTATTCTCGAAATCGGCATTTTTCTTCAAAATTTTAACCTTAAAAACTCAAAAGAAAGCCAATAAGCTGCCCGCCTTTACCTCTTTGTTTAGCTTATTACACTGGTCTCATTTAACAACAGCAGCTATGTATAGTGGACTAAGACATCACATGGCCCTTTATTGGATGCCACTTAGAATTGTCCGTAATGGGGCCGCCAAAATATTGTGGAGTTGCCACGTGGCAATTTGGATGAAGAAAATCTATAGCCAGCCAATTATAGTGTAGAATGATGAGAGCAATGGAAAATTCTGGTAGGCGACCAAAAGTACAAATGATTAATCATAATTAGATTAAAGCGACCGTTTCTTGATTATTAGTCTAGCTGAGCTTGTGATTATGACCTTCCTATTGTTTAGCACAAGTGTAGATAATCTCTAAGAGTCTGAACAACACTCTTGCCGATCTATGAACGAGTAAATTTGATAGAAACTAGTACAAGGTGTAGTGAATGTAATTTCATAAAGGATTTTGAGGACGAAAGTGAGTATAAAAACAATTATAATTCTATTTCTAATCATAATTTTCACTTAAAATACAGCTTAAGACACATTTTTAGGACATAAAAGGCACTTTATTCAGTGATCAAAACTTGACATTTTAAACTTCAGTGACCAACCAAAGATATGGGAGTAAGTTCAATGACCATTGGAACAATTAATTCCAAAATCCTAATATTAAAATATCAAAAAGAAAGTGAAGAATTTTTTTTTTTTTACTTGGTTGATGAGATTTTATCCCTATCAAATTTCGTCACATCATTTGTTGGTAAACAAATTTGTACGTGACAATGTACATTTAGCACAATCCATCTTTATTTTACATCTTTATGAAATTCATAATCGCTTAGACTTCACAACCCTACTAGAAATGGATGGTTGTGGCTTGAACGCATGGTTGCAATGATGGTGGTTTCACTATGACGACATTTGGGCTTAATGGCTTGAACACTAGAGGTGGCCATGGGTTGTGCTCATCGACGGTGGTGGAGGGATTGGTTTGAAACAGCGTAACATAATATAATATGTTATGTGTAACTAATTATGTTGATTTTTAATGAAAATTAAAATGTTAATTATGGTTAGGGTTGAACAAAACTCTCGAATCGAAGTTAATCTGAACTGAGTGGTTTTTCTTAAGTTAAATATTTGAACGGGTATGAAGTATCTGAATCAAGAACCGACAGATTTGGTTCGATTCTTGGTTCTAAACGAAAAATCGAAGAACCGAATAAGAACCATATCTCCCTAATTTTTTAATTAATTAATTTTAAATAAATCAAATTATTTTATTTTTCTAAATAAATTTGCTAACTTGTTAATTTAGTTCAAATCTAAAAATATGATTTTCCTATTTCTAATTTTCAGGACAAAGCCAACTTAATCAAATTTACCTAAGTTCTATCCAAATCTGTTACTCTACCGTAGTACCGTTTCAATTGTTCTCGAGAAATCGAATTAAAGCTCGACAATTCCCATCTTAATTAATTATTTTGAGTTAGTTATCTTTCTCTTCCTGTGATTTTAACAATCAAATTTATGAAGAATTCAGCAAAGAGATACGGAAAAGACACATAAGATTGGATTACGTTATTTTGTAAGAATTAAGATTGAACATATCATTGGTTGAATTAATGTAACTTTGTAAATATTAAAAAATTTAATTATAATACAGAACTTGGGAATCGAATGAAACCGAACCGAACCGAATCGAACGATTTTTTAATTAAATTTGGACCCAACGGTTCCACTTACTAAATACCAAAATTTTCGGGTCCGATTCGGTCCCGGCCATGTCCAACCCTAATTATGGTCAAGCAGGATAATTTATTTGTAGTATATTTGTGTGAGGTTGGTTTGTAATTATTGGTGGTATAGCTAATGAGTGTGTTTTTACTCACAAGTTATACACATTTTTTAACTTGATTATTTGTTAGATCTTATAAGCATAGAATTTTTTCATGTGTTTACTAGTGTTATTTTAAAGGTTAAGAAAGGTGATGTAGAAATGGTGTTAAAGTGAACAATCAAGTCAAAGACAAATTTTGGGATAGCAAGTCTGCGCCCATGCACTACGAACAACGAGAAAAGTAGATTTCGATAGAGGTAACGCCTCGATGCTGCACCCATAGCACCCAGGCATTGCATACATAGCGCCTACACTGTGTTTCATAGCACCTAGGCGCTACACTATATTTTATTGCGGTGCTTGGGCATTACACATCCTGTTTTAGGGTTACATTGTTTTGGCTCGTGAAAAGCCCATAGAGACTCCAAATTTGGGGAAAAAAAATGAAGGGGAGTATAAATATAAGAATTGAAGACTTCAAAGGGAGATTCCACACATTAAGATACACATAACACAACTTGAGAATTAGAGGTAAATTCAAAAGAAAAAACAACAATACCGGTTTGAAATCAAGATTTGGAACGAGAAGACGAACTTGGTGTAAGATTCATCTATTTCTCTACATTTCAAT